TTTGATTGGAGGCCAAGGTTAACGATATCAGCTATGTTTCCAGCAACAGAGATGAAAATCTTCTGAAAATAAGATGCGATCACTTGTGTTATCTCTTCTTCTGTGTAGATTGCGGTCCCGTCTTCATCTTCTATTACTGAGAAATTGTTAACCATTCGCCGCTTCCTTGTTATGGCGTGGAAGTATCCCGTGTTCCGATCACCCAAGCATAACCATTGTAACCGGTTACGTTGTCTCCAATATGACTCTTCTGCTTTGTATGCCTCTTTTAGGTTGTCGTTAAGGTTCAAAACCAGAGATTCGTCATGTAGAGAGCTTTTTATTGCCTTTTCTAAGGCTTGTTTCAACTCTTGTATTTGTACTTGACTATTTCTATGTTTGTTCTTGTTCCATTCGATCAAAGCTCATCGAACCGTATTGATTTTATGTTTTATCGGTTTGTTACCAGACTGTCGCCAAGCTTTTTTTATCAACTCATGAACCTCTGGATTATCTTTAAGTCTTCGAACATACCGAAACAAACTTTTCCTTTTCTTTTTGTCCGGCTCAAAGTATGATATTACAGGTTTATGATCCGAACCTTCAAAATTGAGATATGAGCAACTTGCCTTGGGGAAAAGTTCAGACCATAGACTGTTAGCCACTGCCCGGTCAAGCCTGCATTTTATCCAGTGGTCATACCGTTTCCCTTTCCACGACAGTGGATCTCCGATGTGTTAAAGATTAAAGAGATCGTTTTTCGATAAAAACGATCGAAAGTCGATGAAAGTCCCCTCAGGTCTTATCGTACCGCCTTCTTTCTCTAAGTTGCTTGTTATATCATTGAAATCTCCTGTAAGATACCATGCTGTGTTGCGGTTTTGAGCTTTTGCTGTCAATTGATTCCACATCTCTTTTCGTTTATCTTTATCTGTATTGGCATATAAAAAGGTTGCATAAAAGGTTTGCCTTTCAAAACAGATTCTGCAGTCGATGAAGTTATCAGTCGCTTCCAAGACTTCAAACTTTGTGTCCTCTTTCCAGAAGAGAGCCAAGCCACCAGCCCCATGGCCATGGGGAGAGACAAGGAAGTTATTGGAATAACCCTTCCATTCGAACTTTTCCAAAACAACGTCATTGGAGTTTTTGGTTTCCGTTAAAAAAAAGGTATTT